TCTGCGAGGTCCCTGGTCCAGCCCGTGCCGGCAGGCAAAGGCACGCAGAGCTGTGATGTGGCGTGTGTCCACCCCATGCACGATTTTGTGTTAAGGTGTCCCTTTCTGGTTCTGGCCCAACAGGTGTCCTGGGTCTGGGGCCACCAGGTGTGAGCTTACCCACCTCATAGCCTCCACATGGCAGGGCAGGGCAGCCGGGCTAAGGTGGGAGCCCTGCTCCTGTGACCCCACCTGCCTGCCCTGCTCATGTGTTCTGTTTGCCTCCAGGGTCCCGGGAGGGCCGAGGAGGCAGTGGCCCTGCGTGGGCCCCAGCTGAGAGCAGCCCACCGGATGAGGGAGAGCCAGGCTTCCTAGGGGACCCTGAGCCCGGCTCCCAGGAGCTCCAGGACAGCCCTCTGGAGCCGTGGGGCTTGGACGTGAGCTGTGCGGGCCTGGCCCTGAAGGACGAGGTGGACAGCCTCTTCCCCGACTTCTTCGCCTGCTAGCAGCTGGGCTGTGCAGACGCGGCGGGGCCGGCGGATCTGGAGCGGCGTGTGTCCCTGCTGCGTGCCTGAGCATTTTATTTTGGGTTTGGGTTGCAGCTGCACCCTAATTTGAGCGAGGCTTGCAGGCTGTGATGAGAGGATACTGAATATTAAAGAGGGAAAGCAGGTTTCCTGGAGGAAACAAACCCGCGTGGCTTGTGTGTGATTAGTCCGATTCATCGGGCAGATTGCGCCGCCTCCGTTTCAGCGTGCAGGCAGCTGCTGGGGATTTTGTTCTGCGAAGCTCTCAGCACCGTGAAATCCCTGAATAACCCGGCCCGGGTGCCCTGGGGTGGGGGCACGCTGGGTCCTGCTCTCTGGAGGCAATGCAGCCTCACGGTCTCGTTGCCTGGAAGCGGCTCTGTGAGCTGCCTTTCTGTGCCGCTCAGAGCTTCAGGGAGTGCTTGTGGAGGAGCCTGCTGTCCTCTCCTGGCCCAGGGGACCCCAGGGGAAGGGCTGGTCCCACCTCTGCCACTGGTCACCTCTCCCTCACTGTCAAGGGAACGGGGGACCTGGGCAGAGGTCACCTGCCCTCAGTGTCTGGTTCTGCTGCCAGCCCTATACTGTGAGATCTGGAGGGGGCTGGGTTACTTTGACGGAGGAGCTGAGCTCTGTATGGTGCGTGGGGCCCACCTGTTTTTCAGCCACAGCACAGGTGGTGCTGGCCTCCAACCCCGGATGCTGAGGCTCACCCTGCTATCCCCATGTGGAGACACTGGCTTCAGGGCCCCGTGACTGTTGGTGTGTATGCAGTGGCAATATGTGTGTGTGCACTGTTGGTGTGTGCATGTATCGTGTGTGTGTGTACACTGTTGGTGTTTGCGTGTGTGTGCAGTTGGCAGTATGCGTGTGTGCACTGTATTGGTATGTGTGTGCTGTTGGTGTGTGTGCATGTGTGTGCACTGTTGGTGTGTGCATGTATCGTGTGTGTGTGTACACTGTTGGTGTTTGCGTGTGTGTGCAGTTGGCAGTATGCGTGTGTGCACTGTATTGGTATGTGTGTGCTGTTGGTGTGTGTGCATGTGTGTGCACTGTTGGTGTGTGTGCGTTTGTGCTTCCATGTGTGTTGGTGTGCATGCCTGTGTGTGCGCTGTTGCTGTGCATATGTGTATTTGTGTACTTGCATGTGTGCCTGTATCTGCTGTTTGGTGTGTGCATACATGTGTTTGTACACCCATGTGTTGGTGCACGTGCCTGTGTGTGCACTGTGTTGGTGTGTGTGCATGTGTTTGAATTGTGTGTTGGTGTGTGTACATGTGTGTGCACCCCATGTGCTGGTGTGTGTGCATATGTTCATAGTACGCATGCATGTGTGCTGCTATGTATTGGCCTGTGTGATGTTCACACTGTTGGTGTACACGCATGTACATCTCAAGTACAGGCTAGTGCCATCTCAAGAGGGTGGGATGTTGCTGGCCTCTGAGGTCCCGCTCAGCAACCCCATGTGTTTTCCCGCCCACCCCGTGCCCTTTGCCTCTAGGAATTGGGGTAGAGACAATGAGCTTGTCCCCTGATTCCATGCTGAGCCTAGCAAGGAGGCAACTGAGCATGCACTGTGGGTGACGGGTGGCTGGTGCTGCCCTGGGGCTGGGGCTGGCACCCAGCCCTGCTATTGTGAGCTCTGGTCTACAAGGCGGGAGGGGTCTCTCCTTGGAGCAGAGGGATAGGCCTTACCTTGCCAGCTCTGCTAGGCACCCCACCACAACTGGGCTCCAAAGTTGGGGGCCTCACTGTGGACAGGTGCTGGCAGGCGAGGGACAGGGCCCCATCAGGGCAGACAAGCCTCACCTCCTGCCTGGAGCCCATGTTCAGAGTGACCCTGAGGCCCAGCCTGGCTTGTGAGGCGAGAACGGTGATTGATCATCAGTGTGTGTCCCGGGAGTGGGAGGTGGAGGGGCTTGGAGCTGCGGGGGTCCACCCTGCCCCAGCTTCTGGGGTCCTGTGGTGTCTCATGTCATGGGGCTGTGGACAGTCTGCTTCTCTTGGTCCTTTTGCTGCATTGGGGAGGGTCGGGGGCTTCAGGCACTTTCCCGGGCTGGCTGTTTCAGGATCTAGCCCTGTTCCTTTGGACAGTGATGGTGGCAACCCAGGGGACCTGGAGGGTGGGGTGTCTAGGCTGTCACGAAGCCGTCTTGTCTCCCCCGGTGGCTGCCAGGGTCTGAGGGGAGCTTGGCTGTGGTTGCTTCTGGGGCTAAAGGAGCTGCTGGGGCGGGGGGAGCCATTCCTTGAGCAGGTGTGTCTCCCACCCCCATCTCCCCATGCCTCCCGGCTCCTGGGGCCGTCTCTCTGGACCAATTTACCGCTCTTGTTGGCCGTGAGGCGGCCCCAGTTCAGAGGTGGGTCTGGAAAACCAGGGGCAGCCGCTGTCCTTGCAGTTCTGGCTGGCGAGGGTGGGCTTGTTTGTGGCAGCCAGGTGGGGTCTCCAGCTAAGCTCCTGCTCCCCACCTCATTACTGAGACAACAAATCTCTCAGCAGAGCGATTTTTTTTACTTCCTGGAATGCAGGAAGGGTACTCTCACTAGCCATCTTGCCCCAAGGCCAGCTTTCCGCACCAACAGGCCCGCCAAGTGGGCAGCTTCTCGTGTGTTCCCGCTGCAGCCCAGCAGGCTGGGCCCAGATCCAAACGGGCTGGAAGCTGGTGGCCGTGGGAATGCCAGGTGCCTCCCTCCCACCCCTCCCATGCCAATGGAGCTGCCCCTTCCCCAAGCCTGGCACCCTTGCAGCAGGCACCAAAGCTCTGCCCAGCCTCGCCCTACAGCCTGGAGCTCCCGACGGAGGTGAGGTGGGGGTGGCATCAGGACCCTCATCCTGAGGTGGCTCCACTTGGTTCCTTTACAAGCAGGCGCTGGCTCTGGGAACAGGTTCTTCCTCAGCACCCGGGGCTGTGACCCTTGCAGAGCTCACACAGATGCTGCCCAGTGTATGCCCCCAATGCAAATGTTTCTGGGTCTTAGGCTGCAAATTCTCCCCTGGGGAGGGGCAGGGCCAGGGCTCCTCAGACGGAGCCGCATATTTGCTGAACGTGCAGGGTCTCGTGTCCACGCTGGGGTCACAGTGCGGGACGCTGCACCGTCAGTGGGGCCCCTCCTGCTGCCCCTTTCCGGCCACACTCCTACTTCCCATTCATGACCTTCAGAAATCACCGACTCGTGTCCCTTCTGCGGTTTTGTGATTTCGAGAGCACTCTTTCATTTTCACATCTAACAAATGCCCAACCACCAATCGCTGTCAACCCAGAAAATCACCACGGATTGGCTGGTACCTCCCTTTTATTCACCAAAACATGGAGGGGGCGTGGGTACCTGCCTCAGCTGTGACCCTATCGATCATCCTCCCCCAAAGGCAGTGGCTGAGTTCAGGGAGGGGCGGGGAGGGGAGGGAAGGGGTAGGGCCTTGGTTGCTGTCACCTGCATCTGGGGGCCACCACGCACCACAGGTGCACCTGCTCCTTTAACCCCAGGGACCCTCATGCAGAAATGCAGAGGTGCCTTTAGGGCCATATCTCTGGGAGGCTCAGGCTCTGGGAAGGGAAGGGGTGCCCTGGGGGTTTTTTGCTGGGCCGGGACCATTCCTGAGAAGGGAGGGGCAGCTTGGAGAAGGAACCTTGGTGGCCTGAGTGGTGTCTCTAAAAGGACATTCTCGTCTCCTAGTGGCTGGGGCCTGTGAAGGCGTCTGATGGGAAGGTGTCTTCGCAGGTGTGATGCTAAGGATCTTGGCAGGAGATCGTTCCGGTTGAAGACAGGCCTAAATCCAACGACAGGTGTCCTTAGAAGAGACAGAAGAGACAGAAGACTGGGGCAGAGCCTGGAGTGACTGCCACAAGCCAGGGACACCTGGAGCCCCCACAGCTGGAAGAGGCAGGAAGGACCCTCCCCGGAGCAGCTGGAAGAGGCAGGAAGGACCCTCCCCGGAGCAGCTGGAAGAGGCAGGAAGGACCCTCCCTGGAGCCTGTGGCGGGAGCACAGCCTTGGATTGCAGACCTCGGGCTCCAGGCTGTGAGAAAGTAAATCCTGGTTGTCTGAGTCACCCGCTCGTGGTGACAGCAGCCCCTGGAGACTCCCACAGGCCTCATCACACTTTCTGCTCAGACCCCACCACCCTGGAAGGCCCCATCGCTGCCCCGGCTCCAGTGATGCTTTTCACGGCCCCTTTCACCAAGCACCTTGTGTTCTGTTCCCAGACCAGGGGAGAGGTGGGCACCGGTGGCCCTCCTGGGCTGGGACCCCCAGCCTCTGACGTTGGCCCCAAACTCTCCCCATCCAGCCCCCTCCACGACCCGAGTTGCAGCTCACACGTGGTCCTCCTGGGCTGGGACCCCCAGCCTCTGACATTGGCCCCAAGCTCTCCCCATCCAGCCTCCTCCCCGACCTGAGCCGCAGCTCACATGTGGTCCTCCTGGGCTGGGACCCCCAGCCTCTGACATTGGCCCCAAGCTCTCCCCATCCAGCCCCCTCCGCGACCCGAGTTGCAGCTCACACATGGTCCTCCTGGGCCTCCTGGGTGGGCTCCTCTAGCGCTTGGAGTAGCAGGGATCTGGGAGGACAGAGAAGGCTCTCAGTGCAGGGACAGGGACCAGGTGGGAACACCCCATCCCCAGCCCGTCCCGCCTCCCTCTTGGTCTGTGAGCCACGGGGCTGACCTTGGTTGGTCAAGTCGACAATATTTTGTGAGCCAAGTCCGTACTTTCTGCAGGTTTCCTCAAATCTGCTCAGGAAGGAGGGTTCCAGTTGTGGGACCCGTGCTGGGAACAGAGTTGGCTCTGTGTGAAGGGTGGGCCTGGCTGGGGGCGCTCAGGCAGTGCTGAGGCTGGGCAGGGGGTCACACCCTGACCGGAGGGACTTTGTGCTGAGAGACGGGAGGTGAAAGCCTGCAGCGCCCAGCACCCTAACAGTGTGTCTGTGGCTAGGAATGGCAAATGGGTGCCACCTCTCCAAACCCCAGGTGAGACCCTCCACCAGGGTTGGGCCAGATTCCAAGGGGGTCAGAGGGGTCAGCAGGAGTACCGTAGAGCGCCAGCACGTTGGTCTCACTCCCGTTCCTGAAGTTCTGGAGGTGGAAGGTGACGAACACATTGTAGTCAGTCTCCGAGACCGCCACGGTGTTCTCGCCCTCGTCTGTGTGGAGACATCGCGCAGCGTGACCTGGCTGTCACCACGGCCTCACCACCTTCAGGGTCCTGTGACAGGTGTGCTCTATTACTTTGTGCTCTATTACTGGCTCTATTACATCCTCCAGTGAGGATGCCAGCTCAAGTGGCCTTTTGAGAGGGGAGGGGAGAAGCTCACAGTGCTCGCTCAGTGGAGACCCCATGGTCACCCAGGGTGTGCGCAGCGGCACAGCCCCCTCCCTCCTTGTCATTGGCTTGCAGAGCCTGGTGGCCCCTCAGTGGGCTCGTTTTCCAGAGCCCAGCATGCCTCCCTGCTTCCCCTGGGCCAGGAGCCCCCATAGGGTTGGTGCCAGGATGGGTGCTTTCAGGGCAGGGTCAAGCTGTCGGGGGCTTACATAAAATCCCCAAAGTCAGTGGCTGCCAGAATGTGGCCCAGGCCCTGGAGAAAGGGGACCCCCAGCTGTCAGACCAGGGGGAGTCTGGCTTCCACTCACAGTTGATGGAGTATTCCCCATTCTTCTCTGTCTTCTTGCAGACCACCACCACGGCCACGCATTCCCCCTGCACCCTGGAAGCCAGCCAGGATGATGCTGGGAGTGGAGCTCCAGCCCCCTGGACATGCGACAGCAGAGCCAACGCCCTCCAGGGCACGAGCTCCCCACCCCAATGCCCGGGGTGCCATTCCACAGTCGGGCCCTGCTGCAGCCCCCACCCCTGACACCCTCATTGCCACAAACCTCACCCCAGCCTCGGAAGGGGGGCGACTTCATCTCCATGTTCCAGGGAAGAACACAGCACCAGGCTGACCAAGTCCCTGCTCCCACCTCGCCCTGCCCGGGGTCATACGCGCAGGCTCAGGCTCTCCCAGGAGTGCGAGCTCATGAGCGTGTGAGCGTGTGTGCAAGTGTGAGTGTGTGCACTGGGGTGGTGGGGCATGGATCTTTCTGATGCAACACGCACATGCATTGGAAATCAAATCTGAGGCTGCCATTCTTCAAGTGTTCAATATTCCGGACGAAGACCCTCAGGTCCCCGTCATCTTTAATCCGATTCAGGTCATCTGAGGCCATGAAAATAGAATACCAGACCCCTGAAACCTGAAGACAAAGGGCCCCAGTGGGTGGGGCCCTAGGTCAGCCCTGGGAGGCATAGTGCCCACAGTCCTCCCTCCCAGGGCCCCGCCCCTGAGCATCTGGCTCCCAACCAGAGCCCCTCCACCCTTCCAGGGCCCTCTCTGCCCCCCAGGTCTGCCCTCTGTCCTCTCAAGGCCCCCCTCTCCCTGCTCTCCCTCAGACTCCCTTTCATTTCCCCTCTACTCCTAGGAACCCCTCTGTCCTCGTAGGGGCCCCATCTCCCTGCTGGTCCCCACTCCACTCCCCAGGTTTCCCCTCTGCCCTTCCAGGGACCCAGTCACCCTCCCAGGCCTCCCCCGCCTGACCCTCTCGGAGCAACCCCTGCCCTCCCAGGCTGCTGTCACAGCTTGGGGAGGAGAGGTGGGCTCCCCTTGGAGCAGCCACCTTGGTCACAGGTCCGAGGCGCTGAGGCCTGGCCCCTCCCCGCAGACCCCAGTGCAGACCCACCCTGGCCATGTTGTAGTTCCTCTGCACAACCGTGTGGGGGTTGAACTCCTGGGCCGAGATGAGGCCGAGCCCCAGGCTCAGCAGCAGCAGAGCCATCCTTGCCGTGGGTGCCTCGCCCCAGGCCTCTGCCCCCTTTATACCCTGCTGCCCTATGAATTCCAGCCCCTCGGGGCAGCCCACCCCCGGCCCATCCACACACATCCTGTGCCCACTGGGCATGCAGCCAAAGGCCCTGAGGCTGCTGCCCTCCTCCTCGATGGGAAGGAGGTCATCCCACTCCCTGTGGGAGCTTCCTGGGCCTGTGGGCCAAGGGACCTGCTGTCCCTTCACTGGAGGCACACACCGTGTCCCAAAGGCAGGGGACAGCCTCTCAGCCTGCAAGAGGACCCACAGGGGCTGTGTCTGTGGAGCTCACAGTGTCCCTGTTCCCCTCCCACCCCCTCCCGCCCCTTCCCCAGCACAGCGTCTGGCGCTGGAGCCTACAGAGTCACGGTGTTCCCAGACCCAGCCGAGGGCCCGGCTGCTGCTTGTCCCAGCCCAGTGACGAGATGCAGACGAGCTGGGAAAGAAGAGAGTCTGCTCTGCAGACGGCACGCGGAGAGGGACAGGAAACAGCACCAGGCCAGCTCAGTCACAGCTTTCCAGAGCAGATTTACCTGCGAAGCTACGTGTCTGCAAGTAAGTGTGCGTTCCCCAAGACATGTCATGAACTTCTCCTCTGTAACTGTGGCCTGAAGACCGTCCTCTGGAGCCTCTGCATCTGCTTAACCTAGAGGCCCCGGGGCTGCTGCGGAGACCACCCTCGCCTTGTCCCTGCTAAATCATGGAGACTTGGGGCACTCCTTCCTGTAGCCTCCAATAAAACGTGTTTGTGGAGGTTTGGAGAGTTCCTTTAAACCCCGATAAAACTTGTTTAATCCGAAACGGGCCCTGTTCAGAATTCCTTCGTTATCCTGCCATGCCTGAAGACCCGGGGGGGGGCGTGGCCCGCGCTCTGGGTGGGCTTTGGCCACGTTGCAGCCTTTGTCAAAGGCGCGGGCTCTCAGCGTTTCATGCTTAATGCCGCCGCTCGGCCGGTGCTGAACAGCTGTCACCGAGGCCTGCCGCTACCCCACCGTGGGACTGTGCAGGATCCCTGCCATGCTGGGGCATTGCTTCATTATGAGACTCGCAGGGGGAGGGGCACAGCACTCCTGCTGCCTCCTGCTGATAGGGGGTCATTGTTACGGGCAGCGGACGCAGCGCGGGAGTGAAGGAGGTCCGTTTGTTCCCAGTGGCCGCTCCGTTTTGGGGGCATAGAGGCAGCGCCTGCTGAAACGGTCGTACAAACTGGGGGGCTGCCTTGGAACAATCAGCAGCAATACGTTCCGCCACATCACGTGACGCCCGGGCTGCGAGGTCGCCCTGCCACTAAGAAGGTCCTCCGCTACACCACGAACCCACCCGGTCACTGAGTGGTGACCTGGCGTTGGAGGTCACCTGTGTCTTTTGATGCACATCCTTTAATGCCGGAGAAATCCTCCAGAATCGACAGGTACATACGCGCAGCATTGGGGTTTGCTGAGCATGCCTCATGTTCCGGTGCAGGGTGACCTGGGCTCTGTTACCATAAACCTTGTGCTCAAGGACGTAAAACTCCCTCGTAGCGCTATGATGGTAGCCAGACTTGTAGGCTCCTGGTAAGGCCCGAGTTCCATCAGCTGCACACAGATAATAAACTAAGGACAACCACATGCCCTTGTTTTGTGAAGCTCCCAAACCGCCACTGTTATCAATCCTTAGGATGACACATCAGTTCCGGCTCACTGGTTCATCCACCATCACTCCACCCCTACCCCGTAGATCAAAGCAATTGTAACCAATAAATAGTTCGGATGAGCAGAGCTTGGGGCCTTCACTGCCCCCTCCAGTAATGAGTGATGGCCCCCGGTCCCACTTTCTCTCCTAATCTGTCTTTTTCTCACTCTTTTGCCGCCACTGAACTTGGGGTACCCACAGGTGTGATGTGGGGCTGGTTCCCTACACAGCCCCTCGACACCCTTGGGCCACCGTTAGAATGTCTGGGGCCATTCGACTTTGCAAGAAAGTTTTCCGCCAGTGGTACATTTCAGCGTCCACACGGGAAACGCTGTGGGGTCTCTCGCTCAAGGCTGGCTGTGTAGACTTAGTCAGTGCCTCTCTGCGCTGTGACCGTTTCTCAGCCTCTCGAGGGCATAAAGATTATGGCCAGATGACCGTACCTGTGCAAGATTGACCTGGTCTATCTGTGAAGCCTCTGTGGGAGATTGGCTAGAATTTAGATGGCTTTTACCCAGGGCCCCTGTGGCCACAGGAGGCCTAGAATACAGCGTCTCAATGTGCCCGAGGGCAGCCACGGCCATAAAATGGTGCCACAAGCCACTGGGTTCTGTTAGGGGCATAGCAACATAGGCCAGGGTGTTGGGACCAGTTGGTGGCAAACACCTCTCTTTGTTGTGGGCCAGGCGCAGTGGCTCACGCCTGTAATTCCAGCACTTTGAGAGGCCAAGGTGGGCAGATTACTTCAGGCCAGGAGTTCTAGACCAGCCTGGCCAACATGGTGAAACCCTGTCTCTACTAAAAACATACAAAAATTATCTGGGCATAGTGGCGGGCACCTGTAATTTGGGCTACACTGAGGCTGAGGCAGGATAATCATTTGAACCCAGGAGGTGGAGGTTGCAGTGAGCCCAGATGGCGCCGCTTACTCCAGCCTGGGTGATAGAGACTATCTCAAAAAAAAAAACCCAAATATTTTTGCTGTAGCACTGTGTGTGTGTGTGTGTGTGTGTGTGTGTATGCACATGCATGTACATGTGTGTCATGTGCATGCATGCGTGTCCGTGTGTCTGTGTGCCGAATCCATCCAATGACGGATGGTTACATTAGGCCAGTGGTCAAGGCAGTGTTTCTGTTGCTCCCAGCATAAAGGAGCTACTTGGTTTAAATGTCCGGTGAGGGCAGTGAGCCAAATAAATCCATTCCGGATGTGAAGAGAGCTGCTTTCATTCCGGACATTCTGTGGTGTAAGAGCCTGGACGGCCACCCTCGGACTCAGCGGGGCGGAGCTGACGCCGTCCCGCCATCCCCGTGTACTCCGCAGGGGCGGAGCTGAC